GGCATAGAGGCGTTAATGTAAAAACGGACCACATTACCATTTCTGAACGAATAAGAGATCTTAAATTCTTAACAACTGGATATATCATAAATAATTCTCAATACGGCTTAAAATGGTGCAAAGGCATAGTAGATGAAATTAAAATGACTCACTATTTTGGTGAAATGTCTTGTGATCTGTGAGATCCAAAATAATCAATTCCATATTATGCCCCATTGTATTGTTTATGGGGGGGGGGTGTGGGGGGGGGGGGGTCGCATAGGATGTGTCATTCTTAGCAGTATCATTAACATCATTTTCAGCATTATTTTTGAGTTTTTATTCATGTTCAGTGACTCTGAAAACCTTATAAAAGAGACATTATAAGCTATATAAAACAGTCATTCATGTTATGGAAATTCTGACCGCCATTTTGAATTTTCCCCATCTTGGATTTTTAAAACTCTTTGTTTAGATTGAACAAACATTGTGCAAGAGCTAAATCTGCCTATTGTAGGTCTTTCTGTAGGCCTGAAATGTTTTCTAAATTATTATTTAGACATTAATTAACTGACTCAGGGCATAATCAACTCTCGATGGCATCGGATTTCTCCGATATTAAATAAATTAGAACGTATCAGTCATATTTTGATTTAATCTAAAAATGGAGGAGCGAGACTTAGCTTCGAGCAACCAGTACAGTTGTTGAAATTATTGCACGTGTCTTGTCAAGGCTAATATCTTCGCTTGCAATAGAGTAATTTGAATGAAATTGTCAAATTATTCATTTTACATTATCTATTTTCGAACTATTGTAGCAAGAATGGCTAGCTCTTTATCTAAATCTTACGTAATGAATCTTTAATTGTAAGCTCATTGGATAGTACATGTCATATCAAACAATGAAATGACTATTATCTGACATATTGGCCATTTTAGGAAATTTTGTCTCAATTTTGAATTTCCGCCATCTTGGATCTGGGACACTCATATTTGAGATTATTTTTTATGATCAATGTTTCTGATATCTATTCAATCACTTAAGTTGACCAAACAGATAATTTGGCTTATATGGGTCTGAACACGATTTGTTAGTAAACATACGAACAGACATGAAAAAAAAAATCGGAAATGTTGCTCTTCAGATTAATCTTTTATTTTAAAACTGATAGTATTGATTAAACAAAATATATCAGATACCAGCAGATGCAGAATTATATTATGAACATTTTGAGATATATTACATATCCATATAGGTGAAACTGTTGAGGAGTTATGAAGGCTTCCCCGACTCGCACTATTTCAAATAAGAAAAAAAACGGCGGCCATTTTTTTTAAAGATGGCCGCCAAACTGACATTTGGCAAAGTGACCCGGAAGTCCATCAACCAATTTTGGACACTTTAGACCTAAGGCTAACTGAAAATCATAGTTAAACCAATTCATCAAATTGGTAATGAATATCTGCCTGTCACATGGACTACATCAATTAAATGTTGTTTAAACGCCAATCAACATACAATACGAGTCTACTTGATTACAAAAACACCGGTGAGCAATAATTATTGGGTATATAGTAATTTTAAACAACTTATTAGTAGAACTTAATTTATTTTATACAATTAATGTGTGTGTGTATGATTCTACCATTAGTTCGTTCGTGAGGTATTACGCACACGTTCCACTGAGAGTGATGTCTTTGATCTGGCCGGCGTAAAAAACGATAATTGCCTAATCAACATTCTTAATCCCACTAACACTCACTGCTAACACCAACTTGAAATTAATTTATGACCCATGCCTGTAGAACTTTTATAGTCAGATTGATTAATTAATGACAGATATTAACGACACTACACTTTATGTGGAAAAGCGAAGTGCTCGCAGTAAATACCACATAACTGGACCCTTATATTTTTTACATATTAAAAGTGTTCGTCCAATAAGTTCCATATTGTAAAAAATTAATTAAGAGTTCAGGACTTCAAAGTTTAAAAGTTGTAGGCACTCTAAATTGGATCTTAAATTATTATGAATTACAAAACAAACTATTCCGTAGTCAATTGTTCTATTTAATTAGGGGGATTAAGGAATCCTTCAGGCGTTAAAGAATACACACGCCGGTTGTAAGGAATAAACATTCCGAATATGCATTCGGTCACTGTGACGTCACTGGCGTCTGAGGGGATTAAGAGTGTTTTCGATAATTGGCAAAGCCGTTTTTACGGAAGGTCTATTTTTACGACTTTCAATGAAGATAACTGAATTAATTTCAACCAGATTGGCGTGAACTTGCCGTAAAGTGGAAATAGTAACCATTGGCTACACGTGTCTCAAATCTTCCGGGACCATTTTATGTGCACTTTAATGGTGATACTGTTGGTTATAACAGCCGCGACTAATGCATTTTTATACGCCCATATTTTGGTGTGGACGTATTATGTCGTCACCCTGTCCGTCACAAGTTGGCTTTGGAACGCGATAGAGGCTACACGTTTTGACGGATTCTTTTCAAATTAGGCATGAAGCATTGTGCTTATGATAGGACGAAACCTATTCCGAAAACTTTGTGGCATTCTCAACCAGATAAACTTCGACTTGGGAGTCAATTCAAATCTCATCTAAAGACAACCTGTTTGGACTTAATATTAGCATAAACTGTGGTGTATGAACCATTGTATGTGAGGATGAGTCAGGTGCTCTGGGCACACTTTGTGGATCTAGTGCGTTACAGATGGACATATATATTTACTGGCCATTACTTTCACAGATAGGATGGCACCCACTGATGTAAATGCGTCTCCGACCCATATGAGCGCTGTTTTGTTTTATTTCTGTAACCGCAGTAGCATGAAACATGCGATACTTCATTACCTTCCCAGTATCAAATGCATCGTCCTGACTTTTTTAGTTGTTTTGAGGGCCATATTTCCTCCGTCGATTATATCAATAATAATCTGTGGATTAATATGTGGAAATCGAATCAAGTATAATACTGCCAACTTTATATTCACATAGTTAACCATCATTTAATTCAATATCTGACAATGTTCTGTTTACTTTGTACAATGAAGTTAATATTTGAGTTTGTCTTTCTGTAGATCAAAGAAATGATTTTAATATTTAATGAAGTTGAATGCCATTCTGATGATAGGTTTGATTAAGTGTAGGATAGAGCATGCGACTGAGGTTATGCTGGAGAAAGAAAGACTGAAGAAAATAACCCGAGGGCTTTTTCTGAAGACTTTCTTCCCCAGCATAACCGAATTATAATACACAATCCCTGACACACAATTCAGTTTTCATTCATAGGTCAAGTCAAACAAAAATCGGTGTACATAATATAGGAATATAATCAAAACACAACACATTTGCAACACAATTCGAATCACATTTTTCAGGTTTTCACATTCCGTCTGTCTGTCCATCCGTCCGTCACACTTTTTGGGACACAATAACTTTCCTTCTAATTGAGCTAGAATGTTTACATTTGGTGTAGGTGTTTATTAGGTCATTGCCTTGATGGAGATCAAAGATGAACATTTCTGCTTAGGGTAAGCAGATATATTCAATTTGATTGGTTGATGCTTTAGTTGAACTTTAGTTCTAATTGAGAGTGATGAAATTTGTTGTATAGCTTCATTACATGTGAATTTTTCCGTCTTGACTGTTAATTTTTTAGTGTTGACATATGAATGTTTTCGTCTTGACATGTGTATTGTGTTGTCTTGACATGTGAAAAATAATTTTGTTGAATTGTTTATAAAAACCGAATATAGTGGTAAAATATTTCCGTGAACAGTATAATTTGACTTGACTATAACAAAATACAAGAGCAGCAATGGAAAAAAATAATCTTTATTGAATCTTTTTATGTCGTTTTGTACAGAAAAAATGCTCGGGGGGTGATGAAAAAATTGTTATATACTCGATTTTTTCTCTTTTCATGCAGAAAAACGGTCTTGCAATTAATTCCGCTTTGGCTTGCCATACAGGTGTAATATGGTCGTGGGGTTTTGTTCTGGTGATTACAAGTGCAGCAGTGTTTTGTATATTTTGTAATGAGCGAAGAGAAGAAGCTAGAAGTCCGTAAAGTAAAGAATTACAATAGTCCAATAGACCAATATGGGTCAAGGTTTAACTTCTTTAGTATTGGTCTGTCATGGATCGGTTTGAATGCAGTCGGAAACTTCACAGTAAAAGCACATGTATCAGGACAGGATCAGTGCTGGATTTAGATGAAAAAAGGTGCAGGGTTTCATTTACCACCAATGTAAATACCTTTAAAGGTATCTTTCAACTAGTGGGTTGGATAGTCGAATAGTTAGTGCGTGCGCACTGCATCATAAGGTCTATCACTGAGTCAACTGGCGTGGTGTCGATTCCCCGGTTGTACATGACAAGAAGTAGGGATGCCCGTCAAACCCCTTGCGGTTTTTTCCGGGTCCCTCTCGCTGCTAAAGACCCCTACGCGCAAACGAATTATTGAAATAAAATTAAACCATGTTAATCTCGAAATGACCTGGTTTGTGGCGAGTGAACGTTAAACCCCATTTCTCCCTCTCAAATAGGGTGCATATATGTATAAATGTGTAGATAATAGCTATATATAATATAGTAAATCAATTATAAACATCTGTTACTTTATATCGCGATAGACTAATATATGCACTGCTTAACCATATGTAATGTATAACTATTATTGATTCGATAGAATGACATGCATTCATAGTACTAAAACGCCAGATAAATAATATGTGAAGGAGCAGGTAAGTAGAAAAATATAGATAGACATTTTCTCGGCTGTGCCACCACACAAGTTGTTCATTGGTATTCTAGAAGAACAAAATAGTAACAAGGATTTTTTTTTAGCAAAAAAGCATGTGCTGTTTTAGAATAAATAATTAGTGTAAAATGAGCTAAGTCATCGACATTGCAAACAAGACTTATTTGGTCAGTTTAAACGAAGATTGGTGCTATTATCTTACCGTAAAAAGTTGGGCTTCTAATATCTAAACATATCCCATGATGTAGGGGAACACTACCGTCTAAACATACCCCACTGAAGAATACTCGGTGTAGACTAGAATAACCAGACACCAAACACTCCCATTTAATTTGAAGCCTTCGGGTATATTGCCGAACATAATTGATTAGAAATTACAGTAAAAACAGAAACGATTTAAGGTAAATCAGTTTATATATACTCTTCAAAAAAGGTAGGGATATTGAAATGCAAATACCTATGCAGGTTGTGATTGATAAATAGTCATGGACACTTGACATGCTTTGAGAGTATGTTCACAGATGAAGAACTTATCGCCCCAACAGAACTACTGAGCTGCATATGCGACACGCAATCGCGCCATACACGTGGGAGGGGTTCTTTGTCAAATTTGACACTTCAAGGAAGGGTTGATGAAAACTACCGCGTGCTGGTTTATCCTATCCATGTTTGCATAAGATTTACTGTTTAGCGTATCTTTGCTTTAGTGTGTTACGTTTAATTTGCAATGAGACGTCTTCAACATGACGAACGTCTACGTGCTATTGGCATGCTTCAAATGGGTTCTACACAGCGAGCAGTACCCAACATGCTTAATGTGTCACAGTCTGTGATCAGGAGACTGTGGAACTGGTACCAACAAACACACAATGCTGATGATAGATCTCGTTCAGGTCGTCCTAGGGCCACTACACAAGCCCAGGGTCGATACATTCGTACACATTCATGGGAATCGAGGAAAAACGACCGATCAGCTTTCTGTAAACTTGTACCAAGTTACAGGAGTTCGAGTTAAACCCCAAACGATTAGAAATCGGCTACATAAAGCCCATTTGCATGCGGGACGACCGCGTGTTGTGCCTCCATTAACTCGCCAGCACATGACAAACATGCGTCAATGGTGTAGGCAGCGTAGCAATTGGGGTAATCGTCGATGGGCGCGTGTAATGTTCTCAGATGAGTCCAGATTTACTCTGGATTTCATCGATAGGCGTGCTCGCGTTTGTAGGCGTGTAAATGAGCGTTATGCTAACGTTAACGGCAGACAGTATGACAGATTCGGGCGTGGGTATGTTATGGTGTGGGGAGGAATCACCATGACTGGCAGAACGGACTTGCATATTGTTCAAGGAAGGGTCACTGGTGTGTACTACCGTGACAACATCCTGGCGCCGATAGTTTCATCTTTCAATATGATAATGCCCGTGCCCACCGCGTTTGTGTCGTGAATGACTACCTCCAGTGTCACCATATTGTCCATATGCCTTGGCCAGCCATGCGTCCTGACCTTTCCCCTATAGAGCATGTCTGGGATATGATCGGGAGACGTGTTCGTCAACGTCAGTCGACAACACTGCAAGAATTGGCCGTGGCACTGCAAGAGGAGTGTTTCAGATTGCCCCAAATCGTGATTGGACGGTTGATTAGGCGCATGCCATGACGAATTGCTGAATGTCTAAGGATTGGTGGAGGAATTACTCATTATTAGGACAAAATCAAAAACGTCCATTTTCACTTTTGACAGTGTTATCTCTTTGCGAGTGAAATGGGGTCGTCAGATAAGCCGCCCATATGAACTGTTTATGTTCATGTGTAGGCAATTGGCCTGTTATTAGCATACACTGGTTACCTCTAATAAAAATAGCAGTGCCTTTCCGAAGTTTTGTATGGTTTCTGAATATCCCCTACTTTTTTTGAAGAGCATACATTCATATTACATTATTATATGCATTGCGACAAATTTGTATCCATTTCTAGGTGCCAAATAATAGTGAATTAGCTCCTTTAACGTGTGTCCCTTAAAAGAGTAGGCGTGAAAAAGTTGAAGCTATACGCTTATAACCTATTTTATTCAGTAGAATAAACATTCAATGCATTTTGTTTTCTTTTAATACCGATATTTTTATTGCCCATATTTCGGTGTGGGGGTATTATGTCGCCACCCTGTTCGTCACAATTTGGCTTTGGAACGCGATAGAGGCTACAGGTTTTGACGGATTCTTTTCAAATTAGGTATGAAGCATTGTGGTTATGATAGGACGAAACCTATCCCGGAAACTGTGGCATTCTCAACCAGATGAACTTCGGCTTGGAGTCAATTCAAATCTCATCCAAAGACAACCTGTTTGGACTAAATATTAGCATAAACTGTGGTGTATGAACCATTGTATGTGAGGATGAGTCAGGTTCTTTACGCACACTTTGTGGATCTAGCGCGTTACAGATGTTATGTATATTTACTGACCATTACTTTCACAGATAGTATGGCACCTACTGATTTAAATGCGTGCTCGACCCATAGTGGCGTTGTCACCTCCATGTTTTCGATGATTCTTTTGAGATTTTGTCCGGATATTGATTTTCGTGCAGGTTTCGTGAATTGGTTATTCATTATAAATAGAGGATGGGACCAATTGACTTTAGTGCATACCCGACCCTCCACGATTGCCACATTAAAGTCATTTCATATTTTATAAATCAAAGCAGTAATGTGGACGTATCACGTAGAGTTCTTGTGCATTAGAGGAGTCCACACGGTTAACCTTTAGTTTTGTTGTATTTCTGTAACCGCAGTAGCATAAAACATACGATACTCCATTACCTTCCCAGTATCAAATACATCCTTCTGATTTTTTAGTTGTAATAATCTGTGAATATTTTATGTGGAAATCGAATCAAGTATAATAGTGCCATCTTTATATTCACATAGTTAACCATCATTTAATTCAATATCTGACAATGTTCTGTTTACTTTCTACAATGAAGTTAATATTTGAGTAGATCAAAGAAATATTTAAGGAAGTTGGTTGTCATTCTGATGATAGATTAGATTAAGTGTTGGATAAAGCATGAAACTGGGGTTATGCTGGGGAACGAAAGACTGAAGAAAATAGCCCGAGTGCTTTTTCTGAAGTCTTTCTTCCCGAGCATAACCGAAGTCAAGGGCTTGTATCTTACTTATAAACCGTACGTAAAATATGAATATCCCAGAATTCCAGTAAGAAAAACATTATATCATGTTTTCTTTTACCCCAAACCCACCCCGTACACTGGAATAAAAAAAAACCAAGTACGAACAATCCAAACCATTAGACAAAATTCGAAGTCCTAAAAAAACGGTATAGGCAAAATAGTGTAATAAAGCAAAATAGTGTAATCAGCATATGGACTGTTCACCGTGTACAAAATACACGACAAACAGTGGTAACAGGTGTCCGGAAGAGTAAGCTTACCCTGCCTGGCGCCACACCCGCCATAGCTGCATCCAAACTATTAGGCGAAATCTCGGTAAAATAGCGTGATTGGCCAATATACTATCGGTATGCAAAATGCACGTGATGATCAGTGTTAACGATGTAGTAGACGGACATAATCAGGGAGATTGTATACGCGTCAATTAAATATATCTAGAATAATAGCCGAGAGAGACATGTTATATTTACCAATCAAGTCAATATGACGCCCATTAAACTTTTTAAAGGTTTTAATAAGTTTAGTTCGCAAGTATCCCTGTAGTTGAAGCTTAGATGACAAATGCCTCGATCTACTTAAAAAATCAGAATAAAATGAAGAAGCTCTCGCGTAACGAATTAGTTGAGACACAAACACTCCATAAGCTGGTGATATTGGAATAATAACCTCGATTACCCTGTATATATTCAAAGTCGCCCCGGTTTTTGACAGCAAGTTATTCCTGGCATAGATTATACCCCAAAGGGATTTACCGCGTTATATCTATAATACAAGATAAAATGAGTCTTGTGCTTTGAGGAGGAGAATTTTACGTGTCATTCTAAAACCATATTGTCTACAAATGTGGAAATAGAATTACATGGGCCTTTCAAAATGAATTTTTAAGATTCCTTGTCTGATTATATATCATATTATATCGACCCCTGGGCAATTGGAAAAATAAATAAAGGCGTTTGACGTATTTGTAGGCAAAAATTATTTCCTATTTAGTGTAGATGGATATTAAAATGACTAAAAGGCAGCATTCCGCCCGAAGAAGTAACGTCTTATGTAAACAATGCACGCGCCATTCAGCCAATGATTGACCGCGCGTGCTGTGACTTCACGTGTTAAGGCAGTCATCTTTGACAGATATTACTACTCGTAATTCTCTATGAAACAGATTGAGTCAACTCTGGTAGTTTCGTCCTTTTTATATTATTTCAACTCGCGACAACTTACAGAGATACTGCAAGACTGTTAATATACTTTTATTTAATCGCAAAACCTTGTGGTTAGTTGCCGACTGCGCGAGTTTAGAAGTTGGGTTTTTGCTAGCCCTAAAACCTTATTACACAAACACTTGATAATTTGAACGTATAGGCAACAGATCGTAATCGGCATATGAATCCTTTGTTTTGTATTTATCCCACCACACCAACTTCAAATAACCATCGTTTCTTTAATCTCACCGAAGAGAAATCGATATTGAATATCTACTAGCTCGCACATCAAAGCTTTTTTAATTGTTATTTATTTTATATAGGAACATCATACCGAAGTACTTTATTGATATTTAAAGGGCTAAGTTATTAGATCTATAGAGCTATCATCTCTCTCTCTCTATCTCTCTCTTGTGTTCAAAAACTAAGCAGTGCCCATGTAACAGATGTTACCTTGATACAAGGTAAAATACACCATTCCTCTATATTTTGGCGCTTAAATTTCATACGTACTCAAGACTTTTATTTTAGAGACTCTGTTCAAATCGGAATATTCCCATAAAATTTTTCTTAAGTGCCAAGTGTATATAAATTTTTATTTCAATATAAAATCAAACAGATGGGTCATAATCAAGGGAATAAACTCATCCAAAAATCCATTTATTCATCCCCTGAGTGGCGATTCTTAACGATTCGTATCGAGCAATCGCGACACAAACTGGTGATTTAATTTAATTACATACATGATAATATGTCAGTTTTATTTCTCAAAACAATAAACAGACAACAGACTAAAATATATCATGACTGCGCAATTCCAGATATGCATTGATCTCCTGGCGGTCATATTTTAAGGACATACATTGCCCAATCCAATTGGAGAGTGGAACACAATATTATGGTTAGATAATCTGTTAGTTTTCTATCCTAAGTCACCAATACCGTTAATCTTGCTTCTGGTTTAGTTCCACGGCGGTGAGCACTTACATTTTGGACTTTATATATCG